ATCAGTGCAAGGAGGTTTTGGGGGTGCCACCCCGTCTCCCAAGCGGGGCGCGTCGCAAATTCTCACCGATGTTAGGATACCCCTAGGCAGACTTGTACGTAATCCGTTACAAGTAACGAAATTACTTGTAATCCCTTACATTTATCAGTAATTTAGTAACGGAATAATTACATATTTTCTAGAGTAATTTTAAAGTGACTCCGTTACATTTTTTACGTAACGGATCCCTTGTAATCCGTTACATTTTTTTTTCAGGACCATCCCCCCCCCCCCCCCCCCCCCCGTTTCTAAAGAAAGGGTTGTTTTTATTTTGGTAATGTCGAGCGCAGTGACACTGTCACGGGAATTGACCAGCGCAAAGGGAGGCTTGGCACTCTTCAGTTCCGCAAAGCCTTTTTTTTTTATAACACCAAGCCCCTGAATCTATTTTTTTTCTAGACCATTTTAATAATGTCACAACACGAGGCGACGCCCCGTCTGCCCTAAAATCTACTAAAAGAGATGTGATAATATGTAAAGGTATTATTGCCACAAGCATCCTCGTTCGTTGCTGCACACTTATCATCTTCTCTTAGAAAACAGGATGTATATTTTTTCTGCATATTTCACATTATTTGACCCTGTTTTAAAAGCTACTTACTTTTTCATAGTCCAACTTCTAGGGTTGGCCATATTTATTCGTCAGTTCCAGCCCAATTATCTGCTTCTCAGTTTTATGAGTCAGCTTTTCGCGAATATTTTGGAAAATGGTAGTTGTCTTCCTTTCTTCTTTTTCCTATTTTGCCCCAGCAGGACGCATCTCACCTCAAGCAGATATTTTTACAAATAAAACATAATGGTGGCTGACGTAGACTTGATATTCTGTGCTTGAGGAATGAGTGAAACTCTAGAGTGGGGCCATAGCGCGGCTTAATTAGTATTCTGCCCTTCGCTGCCCGTGGCATCAGTGGACGTCTATCTGGAGAACACCGGAGTAAACTGCGGTCGGTTCGTGCTCCATGCGTTTTTGAACGGCACAAAGAAAGGTACACACGGCAAACGTGCGTTTACATTTTCTTGTTTAGCCGGCGCTTTATTTAATTGTTGTTATGAGTGTCCTTTTTTTAGTACTAAATATTTATACACTGGAAACTTTGTTTTTATTCACCAACGTCTCAACCGAGGCTCGACCTCTTCAGAACCAAAGGAAGAAGAATATCGAGCCAAACCTTATTTATTATTTAATTATCACCTTACTGTTACAACTATGTTTTGCTATTGCCTGGCAGTATATGGAGGTATAGTAAGATGGGCGTAAATCAGTTCTTATTCTAGCTATAGATGTATGATGACTTCCACAGCTTCGGGATTTAGACAATGGAGAATTTGAGTAGATCGGTCCGATGACTCCAATCATGATACCCGATACCCCGCCGCCGCCTTTGCGCACGCATCATATCGTTATCGGGGGCATCGGAGGAATCGGAACGATCTACTAAAGCTCTTATATCAAGCAGCGGCTGTGACGACAAAGCTTTGTTCTACATTCGAGGTAAATAGTGCTTCCATTGCTTCGCTGAAGAAGCTCAATGCAGAGCATAAAGCATTCGTGAGGAACAATACGGCAGTACCATCCAGTGCCCCAGTTCAGTGGGTGTTCAGCGGAGCAGTCGACATATTGAGTAAGAAATAACCCAAAATGTCTGGTGAGACTTTAGAGAGCCAGCTGTTGCTCAAAATACTCAGGGTCATTAAATGGAACAGCTTACAACAATAAGAACTTGAATGACCCCCTTCCCTTTGTTTCTTACTTGAGGGCAATAATGTTGAAAGTAACGCCGTAACGCCACGAAAGTAACGGATTACTTTTTGAAGTAACGGTCAGTTACTTTTATGGGAGGGTAATTGTAATTGTAATAGATTACAATTTAGCCTCGAGTAATTGTAAATGTAATTCCTTACTATTTCAACGCCTGTACGAGATGGGTGGGCGGGCGGACTGAGATCGAAGGGATCTCTCGTTCTTGCGGGGGGGCATCGGCAACTTCCGCACGTAGTCTTGAGGTCTCGAGCCCCACTGAAACCTGGATCTGAGAGCAACGGAGGTCCCAACCTCACTCAGTCAACCAACGGCAATAGTAATTCCTTACTATTCTATAACGTGTACAAGTCTGCCCCTAGGGTTGGGACGCGCTACCTGAAATCACCGCTGAGACGTGGTTGTATAAAAACTATATTAATTGTGCCGCAAAACCTTGGAAACTAAAGATTTTAGAAAACATCACACGCCCATCATTTTGTATTAAACTCCAATAAAAGTGACTACAAAAAAACGAAGAGTTTTTTTTTTTTCGTTTGTTTTTACGCAAAAACATGCTTTCTAAAAGCTGAAGGTGACCACGTATCAAAAGATTAAGAGTGGCGCGGTTGTCGTATTTAGCTAGGTCTCGAGGTAGACGCCAGCGGCCTAGGTTTCAACGGTGAGTTTCCCAACTGAGTGTTGTGGTAACGTTGGGTCTTGTGGATCATTCCAGAAACTGGCTTCTAATCGGTGCCGTGGCGGCACTAAGGGGGGAAGGGGAAGGGGGGGGGGGGGGGGGCGTGTTTTTTTTTTTTTTTTTTTTTTATAAACGTCTGAGACTGATACGCTGACCCCTTCCCTTTGGAAGCCCCCGCATCCGCCCCTGCGACGCGCCAATGGGGAGGTTCTGTGCTGGACGACGCAACCGCGTGACTCCCGCTTTTCCCTCCTATTGTCTTCTTACAACGCCTACACACGCACGCACACACACGAGCCTTATTCAATCTCGTGCTTCGCTGCAAAGGAGAGCGAGAGTAAGACTACTATACTCTGTCTCACCCTACGATGGACTAAAGGCCAAAGCCACGGGCTGCCAGGTCCAATCCCATTTTACGCTATACTATGTCACGCTTAACATTGATTAGGGGTGGACGAATAATGCTCCGAATCCAAAAGAGCCGCATCATTTCTATAGCTTCGACGCTGCAAAGAGACTAATGTAGTGGCTTTCTTTGCGACGTAAAATTGTTGAGTCACTCAGTGCTCTTCGACCTGAGCCAGTGTCCACCCATCCCCTTATCAGTAGTCCGAGACGCGGGATCCGATACGTGCATCGAAGCGAAATACCGCACAATTTCTAAGGGGCTCGTGATTGGATATCGCGGTCCCTAACATTTGCCTTTAGTCCATCGTACGGTGAGACGAAGTATAGCATCGTCACGGCGCCAACGGCGCTCGTTGTCTTTGTGCGTTGGCTATGTCACCGGCTGATCCAATCAATGCGCCGTACGATCCTTCTCTGTGCGGGGATTGGTTGAACCGGCGATAGCAATTAGGCACAACAGAAGGCGAGCTCAGGAGAGAGCACTTCTCGATTGGCTCGAACGGATTGTAGCACCGGCTGCGGTCGGGACCAGAATCGTCGTCGTAGTCGGCACTCGCGATTGACCAAACCATAGCACTCCTGCCCAATCACCGGTTCATGGCGAGGCAAATCCTGCCAATCACAGCGAGGCAAATCCTGATCGTGACGTCGAACGGAAACCACAAGGGGGCGGCACCGAAACACCTCGTAGCGAACGTGGTTTCGAATTTCTGGCGGTACGTGTTGGTGTGTTGTGATGAACTGCAGAGGATCGTGCGTTTCGTATGTTTGTGCGCGTACGTGCACCGGTGTGGTGGTGTACGGTTGTTCCTTGTGTACTGGTTACTGCCTTTCGTTATCGCCTGTCCAACTTTCTTCGCCCGTAACTGCGAGAATGACCTATTTTTGTTTCGAAACAAATGAAAACGTTGAATGATTAAAATACCTAAACATTTTGTTTTAAAACTTTTGGTCAATGTGGTACCAGAGATTGAGAAGATAGGGTGTGACTAGACTTTGTTAATATTGATCGCCCCCTTTTACTTTCGCTGACGATCCTCCGAAATAGTGGAAACGTTTCTGTGCAGATTCTTTTTCAGTTCGTAGAATATCTATTCGTTATTGACATTCATTGCGGGCACCGCGCTCATGCATCTCTGTCCCCATGCTGAAAAAGGTCAGCGAAAAAATTAAGTAAATACAGTAAAAAAAAAAAAAAAAAAACTTTTCGTGTTTTTTTTTATTTTTTTAATTTTAATTTCTGGGGCCACAAACAACATATTTGGGACGAGGGTACCTCTCATTTCTTCTGCCACCCATACGTAGTTCTACGAAAATATAAGCAGCATAATACGCCTTGCAGAACGTTTTTTTTTTTTTTTTTTTGCCGTGCAATTTTATTATCTTTGAAAGCCGATTTTTTTTTTTTACGTGTTTGGCTCGTTGTATTGGAAGTGACGGCGGATTTTGTGCCGATTGTCAATATATTTTATACAGCAAATACTTTTGGTTATTAGACATGAGGAAGATACTTTTGGTTCCTACTTGAGCGTGGTGCAACTTCCATTTCCTGCGCATTGCTACTGCGGGTATGATAGCTAAGTGCGTTCATTATAGTATTTTAGCCCAGCTCGTTTGCACGGACAAGCTTGTTCTTTCGCTGTGTCTACCTGGAGGGTTTGAAGTGGTTTGAAGGCTATCGATCGAGGAGAGCAGCCCAGAAACTCTTCTCAATGCTGAAAAAACAAAGACTTTTTTTTATGTTATCTGCCCTCAAATGCTAAAGGTCGACTCCTTCCTTTCATGTATAATTCAAAGCGCGTATTACGGCCCTCCTTGCGTAAGCTCGAAGAGTAAAACTCGCGGGCATTTTTCCTGGGATGAAACGAAACCTGTGTATCTTGGCCACCCCGCAAAAGCACAAACGGTAAGCTACACTAACAAGCTGCTTCCAGACGAAGTCTGGTTTACATGTGCCATTTAAATTTAGAACGAACTACCCACTTCGAAATACGAAGGAAGCCAAGAACTCCAGACAGCCGTGAAAAAGAAACCAACTACCGTAAATATGATGTGGCTTTTGGACCTTAGGGGGCACTGCCGTCGCGTAAGTTTTTTGTTTGTTTGTTTGTTTTTAGGGTTAGCGCATCCAGAGCAACTTTGAGCATCCCACGGGCTGGCGGTAACGCAGCTTGGACGTGCAAGCGCGGTTCCCAAACTCTCGATTCTCAACTGATTTTTCTGCCCCGTGCGACGTTTGTGCGGAAGCTAGAAAAAGGTGACAGTCATGTCACCGAAATCTGAACTGTGTAGGATCTCAGCGTAGGCGTCGAAAGACCCCGCATACTCCGACAGCGCCGATGGCTTCTTCTCCAGCGATCTTGCGCCGTTGGTCGCTGCTCGTTTTGGCTGCTGCTGCCGTCGTCGGCGTCTCGCCCGAAACTCAGAAAGGTACGGCCGAATTTCCGATAAGCCCTAGTGTTTCTGTGGCCTCGTGTAGCACCTCTCACACGCGGCCCGGTTCGCGCGGAGCGAGAAAGATGTGCACCTACTTCTACGATCTCGGTAAAACGTTTGCACGCAGCTGATTCGCTCGCTGGCTGTCAAATGTTCTTCGCTGGGTTCTCTCGAGGGAAGCGTGGATCGAAAAATGAAAGAAAACAATATTGTTTATTTTTTCTCGGGAGCCTCTACATCGCTTGCGTTTTGCTCTCGTACGAACTCCTCTAACTTATCTGTTTTTTTTTTTCTTTTTTTCTTTGGTTGCTCCCGTAGGTGTAGATGAATGTTCTTGGCCCTTACTACTCACGATTCTTTTTTTATTTATTAATAATAATGATGATAAAAAAAAAAAATACAGCCGTTCTTTAGAGGTCTTTTCTAGGAGATAAGTGAACAGCGTCAACTTGACTAATTATTTTCACGTGCGCGTTGAGCTGTTTGCCTTTCTCGTTCCTTGATGCGTTCACCGAACGGGTGCGATGCTGTCCGTTGCTGCGTCCTCACGTTTCAAGGGGTTTCTGTTTTGATGCCATCACGTGACAAGATCATGAAAGCGCCGCTCCCACTCTCGCTTGGCTTCTCAAGACGTCGACGGGCGCAGACGTTTCGAGCAGTCGGTGTCCTTATCTCCGCTTCTTTTTTCTTCTCTCTTTACTGGTTTCTGACCTCACGCAAACGTTCTCGAAAGGTGATGCCTCTGCCTGGATAGCCGAGCTGACGCATTTGTTTACCCCGTTGCACGCCGTTCGCGTCTGGTGTCCCGTGCGACGACCCTGGCAAGCCGTCGCGACTCCGACGGCTTTGGCCGTGTTCTGCCGCACCTATCTCGTCGTTCGGCTAGCCTTTGCTCTTATCGTGCATCGAACAGAAATGCTTACATACCAACTAGTGAAGAGGTTTCGCTAGTTAGACCCGGCGCACCAACTTTTTCGAGCAAATTTCTCCACCTTAAAGGGATACTACAACGAAATGTTGGCGCATACTCCTTGGTCTATTTGTGTTCAAGGGAGCAGTATCACATCAGACACACCAATCTCTTGTTGAAAAATACACGCAAAGGAATTATAAAATGAGTTAAACGATTAGCAAGAAGCCCCTGGTAGATGTCGCTAACGCCTCATTTGTAATGTCCGTCTAGGAGCCTTGACAGGTAGTGACGATAACTGTCTCGCCTCCGGCCACCACGAGAGAAGAGGAGGAGGAGCTTGCCTCTCCCCGAGACTCTCTTTTGTGGGTCCCCGAGGTCGCTATTGTCCGTCTACAAGGTTATAGAAGATTAACCTATCACTCGAAATTCGCACAAGAGCAGCCTTGGGGTTACTTGTGGTGGCCCGATCGCTGGCATGCTTCGGCCGCTTCGTTGGTTGGAATGGCTAGGATCAACATCCCCTCGATGTTGGCCTCACCGCAGCTTTGCTCGTCCTGAGACAATCTATCTCACGATTGCGTTGGATGTCACATTCTCTCCGCTGGCTGCTCTCCGAGCGCTTGCTAGAGTGGGCCATTTATAACGAAAAATACAGCCATCAGGCTCAAAATACCAAAGTGTGATTGTCAATTACGGGTATTGTGGATCATATTCAGCCTATTTCTGAATACGACGGGTATATTTTAAATTTCGTTCAAGTATCCCTTTAAAAAAGCTGGTGGTTCATATTTTACCAATAATGCGGAGAATAAGTCGTCTGCTTGCGCAGGGGCTGTGGTGATGTCAGAAGGACGCCAAACTCTGATTGGTTCTGATCGAGAGAGAGTGGATAGACGTCAAAGCAAGTGGCCTTGAGGTCTACCCACTATCCTTCATTCAGCGTTTGGCTTCCGATTCCTCGCTAAGAACGTCAGGATTTTGCCTCCTGCTTTTTTTTGAGCCCGCGTACAAAGTGGCGTTACAATCAGGTGGCGAGTCTTAAAGAAGAAAACTGCCTGGCAGTGTCGTGTCAGTGTGGCTGTTGGGCAGTTGGATCGGTCCCTCGTACGTGTGTTAGGAACGTGTTAGGTTCGTCGACTTAAGCGCCGTTCAAACTCTTGCAACCGAGTAAGACCAGACCGGTTTTTAAGCCTTTTGCGACTTCTTAGGACTGGATGCGCTGCAGTGCGGAGCTGGTCCTAAGAGATCGCAAGAGGCTTAAAAACCGGTCTGGTCTCTCTCGGTCGTACTCGGTTGCAAGAGTGTGAACGGGCCTTTAACATGTCTTCAACTCCATCTGATTTTATTGCGCATGGTTTGCACATCTTACAAATGTGCGAAGCATGCGAAACTTGCAGCCCCGACTGGCCTTTTTCATTGCTTGCTTAGGACAAGTGGTGTGGGGTGGCATTGCCATGGTGAGAGACAGACTACCCTGACTTTTGAGGGGAGACTGGCTCATAGCTTTGCATTTATGTGGCAATTTGGGCCAGTTGGTTCATGGTCGTAGACAAGCGCCGAAAAAAGACAGGATTGCATTAATATGGCAATTTAGGCCAGGTGGGTTATCATCGTAGACATGCGGCGAAAAAAAGACAGGGACAAGAAGTTGACGTAAACACTGGCACCAGTGTTTACATCAACTTCTTGTCCCTGTCTTTTTTCTGTGCTTGTCTACGATCACAGCTTTACGTTTGACTGGGACTGAGTGCCTTGCATTCCCTCGAACGAGAAAACACAGACTGGCGCCCTCTGTCGGGTGGCCACACCAAACAATGCTAATTTCATCATTCTTTTGCTCTAAATAATTTTGACAATGTTATTACAATAGATTTGATTTCGCAAATACTGCCTTCAGTCTGGTTATACATGGGTGAAAAGTCTTGCAGGGCAGTGCCTGCAGTGTGTTCTCTGGTCGTGATTGCTACCGGCTGCGATGCAGTTCATTGCACACAAATGCGCACACGTGAAATAAATGTATGTGAGCTGAACTAAAAGTTTGTACCGAAATAAAGTTCTAAAAGATTGGTGGTGGGGCCTCACGCACAATTAGGTATACTGCTCGTATAGGCTTGACTCACCTCCTCTTGGAACTATATTCCTTGTGGCACTTTGATCGTAGTCACGGAACGGTCGACTCTGCCAATTTTCCTTTATGGGACAGTAGTACAGTGCTACAGAACGATGCTTGCATTGTGCAGTTTTTAAGCTCATTTGAGATATCTTGTCCAAAAACCGTAATTGAGAAGAAAGAAAAACAAGGAAAAAAGCTTAGTAGAAGAGAAGGAAAAAAATGGGCAGGCGATGTCTCAAACTTGGGTACACATTTTATTTTCTCCACGCCTTATACATCCTTCCCCCAGGGTCGTCACCAACACACCCTGAAGGTCACCGAAACCCAACGAACAGTGAAACAAACTAGCACAGCTGGGGACAGGCGGGAGAGAGGAAAATTGGAAGTCCCTCCCGCGTGGCTTGAGCCCAAAGTCTCAACCTTGTCTGCCAGTGGGTTCGGCGTTGAGAGAATGTTAAATAGGTTCGATAAGAGGAAAATCGGCGACTTCCTCGGAGGGGGTTGATGTAGTAGTTGCTCCCGGCAATATCGCACACCACCTGGTGATAGTTACAAAAACGCAGTGGGGAAGCAAATTGGCTTAGGTGGGTGAGTGGAGAAATCATACTTTTGGTTCCTAGGCCAGGTGGCGCTAGCCACGGCTCATTATAAACGGTACAATCATTAGCATTCAGCGGAACCATCTTTACATATCTACACCTGTACGAAAGGGTGATCACAATGAAGCATGAAAACCACAATGGGAAGCGAAACCAACCCTACAAATCTACAGCCTATACGAAAAGTTCATAAATAATAAATCTAGCAAAAAAAAAAAAATCATGAGAAATCTGTGAAGGTGAATGACCAGCGAAGCTGCTTGGCACGTGACACAAAATTTTGAACAAAGGTGCAAACACATTCATTGTTAGAGCCCTGCGCGGATAACAGTTTGATTATCCGCATCCGATCCACATCCGCAGACTTTGTAACCGCATCCGAACCGCATCCACAAACCTTTTACATTATTGTATCCGTATCCGATCCGCAACAGCCTACTTTGTATCCGTATCCGAACCGAACCGCGTCCACAAAATGTGGAACCACATCTGACTCACAATCCAGGCATTCATTGTACATCATAACATCAAGCGTGAATGAAAAAAAATAATACAAACAGCACTTTTTAGGTTGTTTGCTTATCTTTGTACAAAGAAATCTTCGGGTCACCATTCAAACAAGGTGTCATTTTATCATCAGTTTCATCATATTTATATTAAAAGTGATCAGCGTTCCCGAGACACTGCGCATCGAAGGAAAAATGATCTTGGTTATGTGATCATCTATAGGAGTCTGCAACACTCCGCTCAGAAGTGCACAAAATGAATATATACCGGGTATCTTTTTTTTAAACTTAACATAATTTTTAAAAAGAAACCATGAAAGCTAGGTTAATGCGGTCTGCGCAGGTGAGTTATACGGCCAGGGGGTCATAGTATAGGGGGCTAATCGTAAAGATCAGTCGGCTAATTAGTTAAAATTTGTTAATTAACTTTTTAATTAATGAGAATAGACATATATTTCCAATTATAAACTTGCTCAGCGTCATCGAAAACCACTAAATCAGTAATTTTCAGAAAGACTTTGAACACGTGAGAAGCGTAGTAGTGCACTAAAGTTACCGCTCGTGGAGCAGGTACAAGGCTGGGGCTAGATAAGAGACGGAAAAATTGCGCGGGCGCCTTATCGCAATGCTAATTTTGTGCGTGCTCCACGAGTGCTAACTTTAGTGCACTACTACTCTTCTCAGGCGCTCAAAGTCTTTCTGAAAATGGCTGATGTAGGGGTTTTAGGGGCAACTTTCTAATCGGAGCTATATGTCTATTTTCATTAATTAAAAAGTTCATTAATGAATTTGAACTAATTAGCGGACTGATTGTTACGATTAGTCTCTTATATTATGTCCCCCTGGCCGTGTAACTCACCTGC